CATTTGAAATGGCAGTTAGAGTGCTTAAACGTTCCATGAAACTGTTAGAAAGAGATTTTTTTTTATCACTTAAGAAAATGCGACTATTATTTTCTAAATTTTATTACACTTAGTTTTATTTGATTAGAATAGATTTATGTAAATACAATCTTAGTTGCATACGCTCATCTGCAATCAATTGTCTAGAAACCGCGAACGCAATTTTTCTTTCTTACCTCCAGCGAGCAAAGTGTATAAATAAGTAATAACCCCTTTACATATGTAAGTATATATCTATGTGCATATGTATGTATGTTTATGGGGGACAAAATATATTAGCGATGCTACTTGCATACGAAATTTGTGACCTCGAGTCATATTTTAACACCTTTTCTTAATTACTTTAACAAAAGTTTCCTACAACTTTGTGCGCCAATTAAATGTATAAGGAATGAGTTGCCGACAAATTGGCTATGACCAAAGTTTGAACAGAGTATGCTAAATGGAAGAGGAAGAGAATAAAATGCATGTAAACGCAAAACTTATAAAGTTTTAGTGCAGAAATTTGATGATGAAATTTAAGAAAATTGCATAAACTTTTCTTAAATTATAATTTGTATTCGATTTGGTTTGGAAATTAATAAAAGTGGAAGATTTGAGTGAAAAGAGAATGCAGTAAAACTAAGCTGTAAGGTAGAGTCTTGTATAAGCTTTTTCTCAAAAAGTACAAAGTATTAATTTGAAAGCAATAATTTTTTCGCTTGAAATGTCTACAGGTAAGATAATGCCTAAGATAAACGCTTCAAGTATATGAGGCTGTAGGCATAAGACGTGAGGTGATCTTGAATCTGCGATAAAGCGTAGCACCCCTTCTCTATTCCAAATAAAGTCACACTGCTCTTATCAACACACAACAAAATCACATTCATATGTATTTAAGAGCCAAGAGAGCCCAAATTTATCACTTTACTTTAGATTAAAGTAATTTTTAATTCTTCTTGCGACAATCGAAATGAAAATGTGTGAATGTGTGTATCTATATCCGAAAGTGTTCTAGAGATTTATTTGACCCATTTCAAATGCGACAACAGCGTTTTCGGTCTGCCAAGCAAACCTTTTGAGCGTAAAATTGTGAGAGACAAGTTTAAATAATAGCATTTATTCCCAATATCTCAGGTGTACTTAAGTTGAAGTGCCTTATACAAATAAAAAAAAACACATAAATTTGAGTTTCCAAACTTAATAATAAATATTGGCTGGCATGTAATTTCGGCTTTTTGCTATGAAAAGTTATAGTTCCACTTTGCGTACCAAATGAATATTAAATTATTCTCTTGAGATTTTCATATGCATTTAACTGTATGGTTTTATGTAGATATATTTTCTATTTTAAACTTTTGCGTAGGCATTTCAGTCGAATGCTTTTTGGCAATGCATACGGACCCTTCTATTTCCCACATAGTTATATATATTAGGTATCCAAAGATTTGTACATAAATATATAACTATGCGGGAAGCTTCAACATATGCACCTAGCACCTTAGTAAATATAAAAATATGTACATATAAATAGGTATAACTATGTATTACTGTAGTTAAATTTTGACCCG